ATTTTACGATGAAGGCGTCTTTAAGCGCTCTATACACAATCCAATACATCTTTAAACAAGACCTCGTTTAAAGAAATACGTTTTCTTTCCTATTTTCAGCTCGTACACGGAAAGAACACTTTCACGGAAATATCTAAAATTTTAATTACAGGTCTGAAAGTAATTTTGATTGAATCACTGAAATAAGCAGCATTTAAATTGGATGCTGGAAATATGAAAAATTTTTGCAATTTTATCATCATGCTTCAGCGTTATATATAATAATTTATATATAATTTGATGTCTCAACAAAATTATTTTCAGGTCTGTATCTGATCAAATTTTCTTCGGCATTTCAGTAAAAATCCCTCTTTCCGTATAAGATAAAAAATAGATAAAGAGAAGGTTGCCGTCTTGAATTTTGACCTAATGGAATTGACTTAATGGAAACAGACACCACACAGCTCAGATCGCTCAGACGCGACCAAACATAGCAGCTTGTATTTTTGCAAGGCTGAATGTACGCGTGAAACAAACGCATCAAACGGGCGACGTACGACCGATAAAGCCGTTTGCATCATTGTGCATACAATCCAATACAATGAAACGCGTATCTGCCGCATCGATGCAGCGTCGATATGGCTGAGCTTCTCGAACAGAATGTTATTTATTTACGCTACCTTTTTTATTAGTCTGGCACCATCGGCCTGAGGATGCTCTTAGAGTTTCCCGAGGTAGCGAATATCGTATACATTTTGCTAATTCTGCTCGTGAAAAATGGAAACCTGATTAACGACCATTACGAGGCAGCGGATCGGTATAATGATAACGCGTTAAAATTTAATTTTCAGAAAGCGTGGCGAGAGATTCTTTCCCATCTTTTTTTCGCGGTATAAGTAAACAATAGCTTTCAAACATTTTTCGACGAACTGGAAGACGGTATCTACTTTAAGTAGCATATTAATCTGGACTTCTAAATATCGCTTACTCATCCGTTACTCCGAGTAATTAGTTTCGTCTGGTAATGGTATGAAAGTAGACCATATTATATCTCCCGTGATGTACATCACGTCACAAAATCTTTCTGTATCAGCGGAAAATCGAAATCCGTACCTCTAAGAATCTGCGATGGCAATTATTCCGGGACGCGCGTTCAACAATGGACCCATCGATCAGGCCGATGACACTTAGGAAAATGAAGAGCCGCCTCGAAATGCGACTTCATTAAGTTCGCACGACATTTGGCTTACGCGCGATTACCGCGTGCGGAAAACGCTGACTCGAAGTCGATCGATATCGACGCGAACGAAATTAATGACAGGATAAACAGCTCGAACAAGTTACGGGAAATGTTCCTTAATTTTTCCCCTTTCACCCTCGCGTCGTTCTCGAAATGAGGGTACGTATTGTATCTCGAGGAATGTCTCCGCGTCGAAACCGGAAAACAAATACGTAAAAGCAGATGCAAATTTGCGGCATTCGAACGGAGAATGATTAAAGAGAGAGAGAGAAAAGATTGGTACGACAAAGACGAACGGTAATGAACCACGAGCGAAGAAAAATCTGATAAACTTGAGTTCTTCCATTCTTATCACCCTCCTCCGTACCGACCGCCCTCATCCGAACTCTTCGCACCCTCTCTTTCTCGCCGACCGATGGCAATCTGCATCTCTCGTAATCTCTTTTTCCTTCTCGCTTATTTACGTCCCTTGGTGCCTTCACTTTCATCCTTTCTCCCTTTCACGCCACTTTTCCTAGATTTTTTTTTTTTTTCGATAACTTTTGCGCCTTACCGCTTAATTTCACACCGTAAATTAGTTAAGAGCGAACGGGAATGAGCGTGACTTATAAATGTTGGCCACTTAATGAAGGATAACGAAGCCGAATTCGGGATGAACAAACGCGAATTTATGGCGAGAGGAATCGATAACGTCAACCACAGAATTTATTTTTATTATATCCTGTTGATAATTAAATATGTCATTCCAAATAAAATCACAATACCACGCGTTATTATTATTCATCTCTATGCACAAATTTTGTATGGAAATATAAAAGTAATATTACGGATAAGATCAATAATTGTTTCATCATTTAACGCGCGCTGGCAACTTTTTATATTAATTAAACGTTAACAAATATCGAAAATAATAATTAAAAATCAAATTAAAAGTAATTGAAAATAAATGATAAAAATAAATGAAATAAAACATTCCATTTCGGAATAAAATCATAACGATATAAAAAAATATTGTAATAATATCAATATTGTAACAATACCAACATTGCATTAGTAAAAAAAAAAGGAAATATCTCGCAATATGCGAGATATGTTTGCATGCTCCATTTTCATTTCTTATTTGTATTAAAAAAAAACAAAAATCGTAAAAAAATAATAAATAAAGAATGCCGTTACATACAATCAGTGATTGTGTAAAATATTTACGATATACGACATGCATTTACCGGGTAACTGATATGTGACCGAAAGCAGATTATTCGCCATAGATTTAAGATATGTCTCGTATACTGTAGTTGTGCAATTTCATTGATTTTAATCTACTCGCGGACTGTACTTGCATAATTACCGCGTTTACGGCACGAAAAAGCGGACTGTATTCGTTTTTATTCCCCCCTTCAACATGTACGCGCGTTTATGATGCCGATAATGTGTGCAACATACACATACATACACATACATACACATGCCAGGCATTCCTAATCGCGTAAGCAGTGATGCAATAAATCATTGTGCCTGTCATAAAGGTTAATACCGTCGATAGAAAGAATACATTGAACGGCATGAATTTCATCATACTCTTTAATAGTTTTTTAACAGTTTAATTAACAACGTTGTTACTCTCCTTCTTTCGTTGTAAGAATTTAATTGCATTTATTTTATAGAGGCATAAATAGCGTATTGGATAAACGAATTGGAACGCGTTTTAGCGAAACTATGAAAATATTTAATTAGTACAACCGATAGAAAAAGATCTAGGCGCACATATTTAGAACGATTATCGATCAACGAAATGATAATACCGATTTTAACCGATTATCATCGGGCGATTTCTTACATGGTTCGAAAATCTTTTTTCGGCATGTAATTTTTCGTCGTAAGTAACTTTATATACGTGTCACGAATATAATTGACAATCTTATTTTTATATTATCCTCGTTACCGAAAGAAACAGTTTTTCAAAAAAAAACCGCATGAAAATATATTGGAGAAAATCCTTTTCCTCCCTCTAATGCCATTAATTTTACATACGCAAATTGATCGTTGCAAGTGATAAATTATCTGGCGTTAGTTTTTATGCAGCGCGATTGTAAAGTGCGAGAGAATCGCGGCGGTGATATTCGCTTATGAATATTTATGGCAAAATACGAAGAAGAATGAAATAAGATCTCTCGTAGCCATTATAGCGACATGCAGTCCGCTTTCGTTTTGCTTGCTTTGCATTCGCGAGCTCGTTCATTCGCTTGTTGGAATACTTAACACCTTTTGATACGCATACGTAGGAAACAGGTTTTTGCTGCTTATTTTAGATTGGTAGTTGGGGACGAAGGATACGAGTCGCAGGATACCGTAGGACTAACTGATATTGCGATTCAATCTATCCAATTAGTAAAATCGCATAAATTTATTTTTTATTATATATACGCTTGGTATAATAAACGTATAAAAAATTTTTTAAGTTGTTGTAATTCGCAATTATCTATTAATCAACATGTAGCAATCGTGATGCTGATCGTAGTAAACAAGTTGACATTTATTACTCTCCGTCTCTTTCCCTCTCCTCTCTCTCTCTCTTTCTCTTTTTCTTTTTCTTATACAGATCTATTCGATTTAGTCGGGATGTGAGAGGAACACGCGCGAGATTGATAATTACGAGTATATCGTCGGAACACGTTATGTAACACGGGGAGGAAGGTGCGAAGAGAGAGAGAGAGAGAG